ACTCACCAGGTGGTTGATTTCCTGTGTGATTTTTTTTTTTGTTTGTTTGTTTGTTTTTTTGTTTAAGGGCCCGGTAATCAAGTTCAACAGCAACCAGCGTTACGCAACTACGGCTGTCACCGCCTCCATTGTCAGAGAGGTGGCCAGCAAGGTCAACGTGCCGCTGCAGGTAAATTGAGAACTGAGTGATGGCATTTGTGTGATTGTAGAAGACTGTTTGCAGTAAAAGTTAAGAAACAGGAATTAAAACGGTGGCGTTTATGTCACTGTAATTCATGAAGAACTCAGCTTGTTTTCTGTGATACCAGTATTTGTGTAAAAGCACATTTCCAGATTTTTCCAGATGTTTACATGTTATGTCCTGGAATTAGTTGCAAAGATCCAGCTTCTCCAGTTCCATTACTGATACCAATGGATACTAGTGTTACGTTAATAAGCTGTATCCCTCACTGTGAGGAAGAGACTGTGGCAGCATCAGGTTCGATTTAAACAATAAAATAAAATGTGACAAATGGATCGACCCAAGAATGTCATTTTATTGAAGTGGAATGTATTTGTAAAATAATCAGACAAAAGGACCACTGGGTAAAGGACCGAGTTTAAATGCAATCTGTTACTAGCAGCCTGTCACAAAAGCACATTATTTGTTCTCCTTTCTTTATTTGAATTTATGAAATACCAAAGTTAACACAGTTTGACGGACATAAAATAATATTTTTGTACCAACAAGGTGATTCCTAAAGAGCTATTAGCTGAAAACTTGACATATAAGGACACACTAAAAAAATCTGAGGAAACTGGAGAATTGGAGGACAAAAGAAGACTTGGCAGGAATAAAAAACTATCGATTACTTAAAGAAATGAGTAAGAGAGTTCAGACTGTGCTGAAGAATAAAGGTGGTCACACCAAATTTATTTACACTATTCTCATTTCAATTCATGAGCGTTATTAATGCACTTTGCTGTTTTATATAGTGTAACTCGTTTCACCTCTCCTTGCTCCTTGACCTGCAGTGCCTCTTAATACCCACTAGAGGCAGTTTTTATTTTTACTCTAACTTAATAGTCTGAGCGTTCCTGTTGGTCTTCTTGTAGGACGTGATGGTCCGTAACGACAGCCCCTGTGGAACCACCATCGGTCCCATCCTGGCGGCCCGTCTCGGCGTCCCCGTGGTGGACATCGGCTCCCCGCAGCTCTCCATGCACTCCATCAGGGAGATGTGTTGTACATCCAGTGTCCTGCAGAGCACCACCCTTTTCAAGGTAACAGATCAAATTGGGTGTGAATTATGTAGAGCTAATTAATAGACCAGCTGGTTTTACTTTTGAATTCACACACATAATAGCTTCATAAAGTTTGGATTTCCTGCAAGATCTGGCAGCTTCATCAGCAGTTTAATCCAAACATTCTCTGTTGCTTAGGTAAGATTTGTGTGTCTCCCCTAATTCATGACCTTGTAAATTTATGTTTTCTATAAAGGACGTGATTAATGAAGTATAAATACCAAAAGTGATGGTTACATGGTAAAACACAACTGACTTTAATTGTTCTTATCATTGTTTCAGTACTTTGTCGTAAGTCTGCAGCTACTTTTGAAAGTTGCTTAAATAAACTTTAACATACAGACACTGGCCTCAACTTCTCAGATGTAACACTTTAACTTTGTCTTACATCTTTTGGCTTTTTGGTTTCTGTTTAATGGAGACGTCTCTTGCCTTGCTCCTGCTTATCAAACAGATCCCTTTATCTTGTAAAGACAGAATTTTCCTCATCCTCAGCCACCTCTCATGTGGAGTTCCCCAAGGCTTAGTCCTTGGTCCCATTTTATGTTTTTATGTTTTTATATATATATATGCTTCCATGCTTTGGACTCATCATGTTTGGAGCCGCTGCCCATCCATCTCTGCTATCTCAATCAAAACAAAACACCACATCGCCCCCATCCTCGCTACACCGCACAAGCTACATATTTTATTAAATTGATTTAAACCTTTTTTTATTGATTATGCCATGTTTTATTTGCTGTTGTTTATTTGAGTTTGGAAAAGCGCTTTATGCTATTTTTTATCTTTCTGTCTGTTCAAACCAAGGCTCTCAATCTGGGGCCTGTTCAGTCATTTTTAAGCCTGTATAAGCCAATTATTGAACATTTTATAAACTTACATTTCTCTTTACATTGTTAATATTTTGAGAACCTCCATGGTGCTTTACTAATGTATGTCTACTTGTCAACTCCTAAGTTACTGAGATAAATAGTCATGAGCGCCTGAGCTGACAACGAAATATCCGTTTGTCACAGTTCTAGTCAGAATATGTCAGGTTTGAACTGTCCAGCTGTGGCATTAGAATCAAATTAAGTGATCTCATTGCTGGCATTTGACAGAGTTCTTTTAGGTTATATTTTTACCTGTTATTGTGCTTTTTCATCTACTTTAAAAAATCTTAGTGATATTAAACTTTGCTGTCACTTCCTGTTTTCTGCTTCTTCTCGCTTCTTCAGGGTTTCTTCGAGTTGTTTCCCACCGTGAGGAGCACGCTGGTCGTTGACTAGAGCTGGGACAGCCACAGCTGATCGGGAATAAAGGATTATACAGACATGTCATTCTCAGTGAACGACTGCATTATTTTAAAATCTTCTGCAAATCTGCAGTGCTTTATTTGTGATTTAAATGCCAAAAAAACATATCTTTTAAAATCACCTGACACCCTCAGAATCAACACTTTCTTAAAGTATATAGTAACTTTGGTATATTTAATGAAACCAGGCAAAATTCAACCAGTATTTTAGTGTTTTGGATCTTTCATAGCTTCGAGTACACATGACGTTATCAGGGCTGAAAAGCACATTTAAATAGTTTTTTAAAAACTGCAGCCAAATCAGTTTGTGGCACTTTGAGTGGGTGTAAATCTGAAGAGTAAATCTTGTTTCTATTGATCTGTTTTCTGATGATTCGCTGGTGAAAACTTTCAAATGTGCACTTTGGGTCAACTTCTAAGGGACATTATCACCATGCGTGACAGGCGGCCTGTTAAAAAAAGTTTTAGGATATGAAAAGTCTCCTTTTTTCCTTACATTTGGATACCAGGCTTGTCTTCTAGTCGTGATTCCTTCTGCAGTTGAAATAACTTTTAACACTCTGAGCCACATTCATACATTGGTTTATTCTCTCCCCTTTAAGCACTTTTTCACCATCTCACACACTTACACTCCAGTACTGTGTGGGAGCAGTTTGAGATTCAGTGTCTTGCCCAAGAACACTTCGACATGCCAACAGAGACGCATGAAGTTCACATGTTGTGTATAATGATTTAGAAATATAATAATGCAACAAATTAACTTTCAGTGCATCGAGATCAGTGGTCCTCTCTTAGCGATAAATGAACCAGATGTTCCCACCTGTACCTCAGACTCACCTGATCATGTTTACATGTTATTTATGTTTGTCACCAATTTAAATCAGATTGGAGCTTTCCAGGGATACTGGATTTTGGGTGTATATTTGGCTCTGTTGCAGTTCTGAGCAGAGCTTAAATGTGTATATGTTCTTGTGAAATTTGAACAGATCAAAAATGCTGGAAAAATAATGCCATGATGCACGTCGAGGGGCCTGTAACATTAAATATACTGAAGTTACTGTACTTTATATAAAATGAGCTGATTCTGAGGTGATCGAGTGGGAGTGAGAGTGGGTTGAATCCTTTTATAAAAATGTCTTTTCTTGTGTGTGGATGATTCTAGGTTTTAAATCTGATCTTGCTGTAATTGTGTTCGATTATATCGGACGAAAAAGCTGCACTACTTCAAGACCTCATGTCTTTCTTGTGAAATGAAATTGTGTAGAAGAAACTTTGGAAAAAAATGTTTAAAATCCCTTCTGTCTCGCCCTGTTTTTATTACTTTCTTGTTGGTGGAGTCGGTAAACACGGAGTGGAGGTAAATGTGAACGTTTCATGCTGCAGGAGAGGCTGCAGTAATTGAATTTCACCTCCTCTGTTTTAATAAAATGCAGCGAGGAGCTGGATGTGCCGCTCTGCCAAGTGCCGGACAGTTTCTTGGCAGCATGAGGAGGACTTATGAGCCATATCAAGATGCAGCAAGAAGAAGGCACTCCTTAATCCTGCTTTTAGTCTCATGGGCTCTGTTAGAAAGTCAATTACAATCCTGTTGGGGAATTCATCAAAATAAATCACCTGAAATTACAAAAATTAGGTGAAAAACAAGCAAGAATGCTGAAATAAGTGAAATTAGAAAGAATTGTGGCTGCTGGTTAAAACATATTGAATAAGTTTGTTGTTTTTATTGTCATTTTGTTGAATATTACAATTTTCAAAGCTTTTTAAACTTATAATTTTAACAAGTTTGATCAAACGAATACATGCATGGTACACAGAGGAGGATATTTTCAGTGTTTATGCATTTATGTGTTTTTCTAACCCTTAAACATCTCAAGTGGTTCAGATGACTTTAAAACCGTTCACATATTTTTGCAAATGAGCCTTAAAAGCTCTGGATAGAAACTTTAGCCCTCGATTAAATGAATTTAAAACAATCACTTGTGATGTGATTGATAGTACAAAGAAAAGAGAAGTAGGGGTAACTTTGAAGGACGAGTGTGTGAATAGTGCTGTGAAGGTCAGGCAGGATCGTGGAAATCAAAAATGTGATGTGGAGTGGGCACCTTGCTAACCAAGCTTTCAAGCATTAGCTAATAACGTAGCACTGCACCTGCTTGTCCAAATATGGTCACTTATGGTGACATTAAAAAAGACAACAAAAGAACAGGGCTGAAAACATAATTAAAGCTTAAAAATTGAGTTCAAAACAGCCACGTTTGATGTCACGTGGCCACGTCCATCTTTTATATACAGGCTATGGCAAACACTTGCGTGTGTTTGAAAAACAGTGTCAGAGATGATGACGTTAGCCCCACTAAGTCATCCTGTATTTTTTTTATTATGCATCTAATTTGCACATTTTCTAAATATTACGGACACCTCTTGCAGTTTTACGTCTGCTGTTTCTACTTAAACTCTGGATTTAATGACGCTTTTAATGATGTTTCCTTTAGTTTTTGCAGTTTAGCGCCTCCTGTGGCTCGGATTATCCACCCATCCCTCCTCGCTCTCTCTTTCTCTCTGCGTCTCTGTCTCTCAGCCTCACTCTTCCTCTCCATCCCTCCTCCAGCAGCAGCTTCTCCTCTGACATGGAGAGCTGGTAGAAGCGCAGCGGCGGCGGCGGCTCTCCCCTCCTCGCTCCGATGGATGTTGGATGTACCATGCGGTCACCGCGGCTCTGGGCAGCTCTGTGCCTCCTCCTCCTCACCGCCTCTTGCCGGCTGTGCTCGGCCACCCGACACGGTAAGAGAGTGGACGTGGATCTGATGCGATGTGATGGAGACAGATGCACTTCCCTCTTAATAAAGTGGATCTGTCCACCCTGCGACGCGCGGTGCGTAAATCACGATTTCCCCGAAGAGGAGCTCCCCGCTGTTAGTGACCGCAGCACTGAGCCGCCTCGGTGCACTTTGTGCTCACGTTTCACTTTCTTTGCAAAATATTTTAAAGAGTGTAAAACCTATTTTCATCGGCGTTTACTCAAATTCACAGCGGGGTTTGTGAAAGTTGCTCGTTGTCTCTACTGGATGTTTTTCAAATACGGTTGAACATAATCTGGATTCAGCGAGTTTTGCTCGGCTTTGACACTCCTGCATAAAAAAGTGCAGAAAGTGAATAGAAATAACACATGAAGTGCCTGTTCTTGCATTTCCGTTTGTCCGCCTCTGAGGTGTTTACCTCGGTGCTAAATTGCGTGAGTGACGCAAAAGCTGTGACCAGGGGTCGGCTCGGATGTGTCTGAGTGCTCAGATGAATCATTTTGTTGATCACAAACAAACAGAGCCAAAACAGCAGCAGGAGAGGCAGAGAGAGAGGGAGGGGCGAGGGCTGGGTTGGTTTGTTTTGGTTCACAGTTAATTTGCCTTCACAAGGAGCCAACATGATGATGATGTAGAAACTGACAGGGAGTTATTTTCATGCAGGGGCCTCTGAGGTCACAGCAAGATCCATGAGAATCCAGAGGAGCTAAAAGCCGGATCAAAACACCCTTCATTGTCTTTATGTGGAAAATTGTTTTGGCAACGCCGAACATCTGACTTGTAAATGCAAAGTAGAGTGACTGCCACAGTGTGAAAAATAGCAACAGCAGGAGTTCACACAGTCTGCTAACAGAGCAGTTTAAAAAGAGCCAAATGGACAAGACGTTTGCTGCCTGTTTTATTAAGCTGAGCATGAATCTAATAAAGCAGCAGTTAGAAACATTCATATCCAGACTGCAGCACCTGCAGGTGCTTGGGCTGTTTGCACTGTGGTCTATAAAGATGTGCTTCATGAAGAAAATGTCTTTAAAAGCATTTAGGGACTTAAGATCAGACATTATGAAGTCAGTAATGTGCATAAACGTACAGGAAACCATCAAAGCGAGCCTGCAGATCCTATTTTTCTTTACTGCTTTCTGTTTAGCCAGAGTTTTACTGACTGAGCTTAAGGCAGGGATTATATTCAGTTTGTGGACATGGAAACAAACCTGTGTGGACATCACGAGTAAGTAGTCATTGTAGTAGGAGCAGCGATATGTGGCCTCAAAATTAAATAACATTTCAAGAAAATGTGTGATAATTACATATTTTCCATCCTTCTTTTCTAATGAGCTAATGAAGCAGATAAGATAAGATGAGATGAGATAGCCTTTATTAGTCCCAGAGTTCAGAAATTCACATTGTTACAGCAGCAGAGGGGACAAGGCAGGAATAAATAAATAAATAGATGATACACTTCCTAATTTGAAATATAAATCTATTGAAACAAGGCGCCAGCAGCATTATACCCACAGGCACAGCCTAATTAAATATAAGTGCAAAAGTAGCCCAGGTAGCATTTTTCCTGGAAAGTTTCAGTAAAAGTATAAGATAACTATTAAATTAAATATTGATGAAGTTTGTCGTGGATACCAGGGTTAGTATAGGTAAGTAAAACTGTTTGGTTGAGTAACATGTTCATGACACAGCAGTGTCTATCTGGGAATTAGCAAAAAAACCTAATGTTAGGTGGCGTGGTGCTAATGTGGTGAAAAACAGTGGAATAGCATTGGTATGTCACCGTGTTTGGACAGGAGCGTCTTCTATCAGTTACGGGAGGGTAACATCAACCGAGTGTTTATTTATTATGTGCAATCCCTCCTAAAAAGCCGCAACACTGCCTTCAAGTCAGGGGACAGGGCTGCGTATAGGGCGGCCAGGGCAGACCTGAGTAGAGGCATCAGGAAAGCTAAGGCTGCCTATAGGAGGAGGATTGAAGATCACTTTGCTGACAACGACCCCAGAAAAATGTGGCAGGGGATCAATCACATTACCAACTACAGAAGCAATAACCAGGCAACATCTAGGACTGATGCCTCACTGGCTGAGGATCTAAACCGTTTCTTCGCCCGCTTTGAGACGACCAAGCCCTCAGCTGCCACACCACTTCCACCCGCCCCCAGCACTGGCACACTAACACTTAGGGAGCACCAAGTGAGGTGTGTTCTAAGGTCAGTGAATCCCAGGAAGGCGGCAGGTCCTGATGGAATACATGGAAAGGTTCTCAGAGCATGTGCTGACGAACTGACCGGAGTCTTCACTAAAATCTTCAACCTTTCCTTGTCATCAAACACCGTCCCGCCCTGCCTCAAAACCTCCACCATCATCCCCATCGCCAAGAAGACAGCTATGGCCAGCCCAAATGACTACAGGCCTGTTGCACTTACGCCTGTAGTGATGAAGTGCTTTGAGAGACTGGTCTGTCAGCACATCAGGGCCGGTCTGCCTCCCACTCTGGACCCCCACCAATTTGCCTACAGGACAAATCGTTCCACCGAGGACGCTATCACCATAGCGCTCCACACTGCGCTGAGTCACCTGGAGCACCGAGGAAGCTATGTGAGAATGCTCTTTCTGGACTTCAGCTCAGCATTCAATCATATCATCCCGGAGATCCTGGTCCAGAAACTGTCTCACCTGGGACTCTCCACCCCCATCTGCCTCTGGATCAAGGACTTCCTGACAAATAGACCACAGTCTGTCAGACTCGGCCCCCACCGGTCCAGCACCATCACACTCAGCACCGGGTCTCCACAAGGATGTGTTTTGAGTCCCCTCCTGTTTACGCTCTACACATCCGACTGCTCCCCTACCCATCTCTCAAACACCATCATAAAGTTCGCGGATGACACCACAGTGGTTGGACTCATCTCAAGGGGGGATGAGTCGGACTACAGAGATGAGGTCAACAGACTGACTGAGTGGTGTTCAGTTAGCAACCTCCAACTGAACACCACGAAAACTAAAGAACTTATCTTGGACTTCAGGAAGGGCAGAGCAGACCCGGCCCCACTTTACATTCACGGGAGCTGTGTAGAGAGGGTACACTCCATGAGGTTTCTGGGCGTGCAGATATCTGATGACCTCTCCTGGACTGCAAATACTACAGCGGTGGTTAAAAAGGCCCAGCAGCGTCTCCACTTTCTGAGAGTGCTCAGGAGGAACAACCTGGAGGAGAGGCTGCTGGTGACATTTTACAGAGCCACCATAGAGAGCATCCTAACGTACGGCATAACAACATGGTATGCAGGGTGCTCAGCTGCAGACAGGAAAGTACTGCAGAGGGTCATCAACACAGCCCAGAAGATCACTGGCTGCTCTCTGCCCAGCCTGGAGGTCACTGCAAACTCTCGGTACCTCAGCAGAGCTGGCAATATCATCAAGGACCACTCTCACCCCAGCAACCAACTGTTTGAACTATTACCGTCAGGCCGACGGTACAGGTCACATAAAACCAGGACAAACAGATTCAGGGATAGCTTCTTTCCCAGAGCTATCACCGTAGTAAATAAGCACAAAAACAATTGAACCTATTCCATACCGTCACTGTCATTATATTAATGCTGCTATCCTGTATATATTGTACATACTATTGTTTGAGTACTTACGATTGTTTTTTTTGTACTTTTTATATTTTACATTTATATTTATTATTGAAACTTGCACCAAGGGAGTGGCACTCCAATTTCGTTGTACTCTGTACAATGACAATAAAGGCTATTCTATTATAGTTTGCGTGGTAATATTTTATATTTGTGAGTGTGAGACAGCACCCATTATCTGCTGCTAATGGTATGTGCCATATTCATTAGTGATGGATGGGTGGAGGTTGACAGGTAGATTAGGGCTTCATCTGTGGTAATGCAGGCGTGGGTGTTGTTTTTAGATTTACTGGTCAATCTGCGCTCCTACCATAACCAATGGTCACGAGCTCTGAGTGGTGACTATGGATACAAATGATTGTGGCTGAAATGAGCTCCCTCCATAGGCTCACCGGGTTTTCCCTTATGTAGCAGGGTGAAGAGCTCAGGCTGCTCCTTTGCTACTTGTGTCAGAATCAGTCAGTGTAGGTGGTTCTGGGATTTATTTATAATGCCTCTTGGGAGCCTCCTTTTGGAGGTTTTCCAGGCACAGCTCAGACCTCGATGAGGAGATTATATATCTCACCTTGTCTGAGAATACCCCAAGACCCCTTAGGAGGAAGTGGAAGGTGTTGCTGAAAACAAAAATGCCTGGAATAGCAGCTTAGCCTGCTGCCACCACGATCCAACTTTGAATAGGTCGGGATGGATGATGCAAAGTTCCAATCTTGCTTCCTGTGCTTCTCATTTAAGAACCACTCAAAAACCTGCCAATTAAGCTGCTTTACCCTGTGTGCAGTCACTGCAAATCGCCTTGCAACCCGCCTCCACTCCAGTGCCTGCTTTTCGTGTTGTCTCTGACTTAATCATTGTCATATCTGTCGTCACTGATGTCGACAACTGGGAAACTCAATAGGACCAGAGAAATGATGGACACCCCTAAAAGATAGACAGATGTCCATAAATTGGCTCCAAACAAAAACAAGTCCTTGAAATGTGCTCTTGTAGGAGCATTTTGGGGTTCCTGAGCTCAGGCCTCTTTGTGTCTGATCACAAACGAATAACAACCGAAAGCTTCATTCAAACATTTTCAAAACTAGTGCTGGAGTATGTGGGTCAGGTAGACGCTGAACCGTAAATAAAATCTGTACATAAAGCAGCTTTAAAAGCAGCTCATTCTGACAGTTATGACTCATAACCAACCCCTCCGTCAGCTCCGTCTGCTTGCTGTAATTACAACAGCTCGCCGTTTGTTTGATGCACTAAACACGACGCAGTGTTTGAGCACCGCGGGCAGAGAGCAGCACAGAATGTTAAACCTTTCTCATCTCACCGTCCGCAGGCTTATTTATCTTCTCATAAT